CCCCCCAGGTGCCTGTTGGGGCCTGGGTTTCAGCTGTCCACACCACAGCAGTGGGCAACGAGCTTAAAGCCCCTGATGGCTCTGGGCGCTGACTCTCACCTGTGTCTATGGATGAAGTCACAGGCGATTTTCAGCCAGCGCTGGCAACTATTTCATCTTAACTTGGATCTACAATCAAAACCCATGGAAGTAGCAGTCAAGAAATCAAACAGTAATATCTTAAAGACACCAGAGCTGCCACCCAAACAGATATATGCACACCTATGTTCATTGCTGCATTATTCACAAAAGCAAAGAGATGGAAGTAACTCAAGTGCCCATCAACAAATGAATGGATAGAAAAACTGTGGTATAGTCACATAATGGTGTACTATGCAATACTGAAAAATGAGGAAATGTCAAAACAGCTATGAGACCTTAACCCAGTAAGTATAGCAAAATTTAACAGAGCAGCAAACAGCAAATGCTGTCAAGTTTGTGGAGAAACTGGAACCCTTATTCACTGTTGGTGCTAGTGTAAAATGGTGTAACCACTATGAAAGGCAGTATGGCACTTTCTCAAAAAGTTGGAAATAGAAATACCATTTGACCCAGCAATTCGATACCCTAAAGAAACCAGAACCACCACCCAAGCAGATACATGCGCACCCATGTTTATTGCTGCATTGTTCACAATAGCAAAGAGTTGGAAACAACCCAAGTGCCCATCAACAACCAAATGGATAGAGAAGCTGTGGTATATTCACACAATAGAATACTATGCAGCACTGAAAAACAAGGAACTCATGAAGTATTATACAATATGGGTGACCCTGGAGGGTCAAACAAGGCTTGTTTGAGTCTGCCTGGCTCCACAGTCATCACTCTTGGCACCAGCAGCCGGGAAATTAAAAGGCTTATTGCAATGGGAAACTCTGCTGTTAGGGACCTCTCCAAAAGTACTGAAGAGCAAGGGTGTCACTTTGGAGACTAAGGTGCACCTGATACAGGCCATGGTCTTTGCAATCACTTGTTATGCATCAGAGAGTTGGACAGTGACTAGGGAGTATAGAAGGAGAATTGATTCCTTTGAGCTGTGGTGCTGGAGAAGAGTATTGAATGTACTATGGACTGCTAAGAAAACAAACAGATTCATCCTGGAGAGGGTTAAACTGGGCTGCTCCTTGGAGGCAAGGATTCTGAGGCTTCATCTGACATACTTTGGACATGTTGAAAGGAGGGCTTGGGAGGGTGGAGGGATGGCACAAGAGGGGAAGATACTCTATGAGGTGGATTGATTCAGTGACTAGGGTAATCGGGATGGGTGTGTTGGCGGCAGTGTGATTGGCACAGGATAGAGCAGAGTTTAGGGCTGTTGAAGGGTCACTATGAGTGACAAGTGACTTGATGGCACATAACAACAACAACAACATCAACATTTGTAATTGAAAACACATCCATCCATTGTTTTGTATTGTTGTTTTTGTCTGCCTTCAAGTGAGAATCAACCCATAGCTGACCCTCCAGCAGGTTTTCAGAGGCAGTAAATCACACTATAGGAGTGCTGGCAAATTCCAAACTATGAATAACTTCTTACTATTTTTAACAGTACTGGAGTATAGCTTCATCTTTATTTCCATTCTTAATCATTTTTTCAGAATGAATGCCCAGAGTGATATTCCTGAGTTAAAGTATATGTATTTTTTTTCTTATTAATGGTGACATCGTTTGATTGTGTTGATCCTTTGTTTCTTTTTAACATTGAAATTGGGAGGCTGGACGGACAGCACAGGAGGGGAAGGCCCTCTATGAAGTGAATTGATTCAGTGACTGGAAATATCAGGATGGGAGTCTCAGAGACTGTGTGATTGGCACAGAATAAAGCAGAGTTTAGGGCTGTTGTACATAGGGTCGCTATGAGTCGCAAGCGACTCGATGGCACATAACAACAACAACAACACAATACAAGCTTTTTCTCAAAGTAGTTGTGTGACCTTGAACAAGTCACTTGTTTGTACCTCAATCTTATCATCAGTAACAAGGATATTATTAGTTTCTATTTAATAGGATTATTGTGATAATTAAATTCAGTAATGTGTATAAAACATAGAATAAATAATACATAACAAATGTCATAAAATTAACTTAGTCTTGTACCAATTTTATGTGTGGAAGGGACTTTGGTATTTATTTCCTGGATTATGATTTATGTTGAATCTTCTATAGCTTCTGGGTTTCCAGGAAACTTATCAATTTCCTCTCCTATGAACTCTATCACTCAGGTTCACAGATGGAGCAAAAATCTTGTTTCATTTACGGCAGCAATTGAAGGAGTTGAAGAGATTGAATCACATGCTTAACTATCACAAGGATCCTTTGACTGAAGGGGTAGACTTGCAGGAAGCCCAGGTCACAGAATTGTTACAGCGTCTGCTGCAAAGGTCTCAAGCCATGGAGGGGCTTTTGGGAAAAGGCAGAGGAGGGATGCCTGGAGGGATCCTTGTAAATACTGAACTATGTATTCTTGTCACATTTCTCTCCCCAGTGCTTTTGTGGTAGAAACCCAGCCCTGCATGCCCCAAACTCTTCACCGACCCCTCATCCTCAAGACTGGGAACAAATTCAGTGTACGAACAAGGTTGGTATTCCTAAACTTATTCCTATTTTCCTCTTCCAATCCTGGGCACTGGAGTAGTGTAGTATAGTGATTGAAAACATAAATCCTACAACCAGACTGTTGTTATTAGCATCTATCAAGTTGAGTGTGACTCAGAGCCACCTTATAAACAACAAACCCGAATCCTGTCCTATCCTATGCCATCCTCACAGTCTTTGACACATCTGAGCTCATTGCTGCAGTCACTATGTCAATCCACCTGGTTGAAAGTCTTCCTCTCTTTCATCGTCCCTCCACCTTTCCCAGCATGATGTCCCTTTCTAAGGACTATCCTCCCCTACCAACATGCCTGAAGAATGTGATACAAAGCTTCATCTTTACTTCCAAGGAGCATTCTGACTGCACCTTCTGCAAGACATATTTTCATAGACTCTTCAGAGGCCTACTCTTTAAGAAGTGGCTGACCTGCTTCCTAGTCTGTCTTAATCTGAGAGCTCTAATAAAACCTGTCTACCATGGGTGACCCCCTCTGGAATTTGGCCTACTGGTCATACAACTTTCACGGTCACAGCACCCACAAGTTACTGCAGTACATCAAACTGACAACAAGTACTTCAGTAATTAGAACAATAATTAATCAAGAATACAGATACCCAAACTACAAAGGAATTAGCAATATGCAAATCATTCTGCCAATACAACAAACTGAAGATAAGTCTCACAGTTTAGGAGGCTCCAAGTGTGAATCCCAGGTACCAGTTTTAGGGGAAGGCTTTCTCTCTGACAGTTCTGGGAGAAGGTCTTTGTCTTTGAGCTTCTTCTCTTGGATCATCTTTCTATGGCTTAGTGTCTGTGCTCTAACAGCAAATCAGGAACACAAAAATACAAGCTTCATTTTGAACTAGTTGTGTGACCTTGAACAAGTCACTTGTTTATATTTCAATTTTATCATCTATAACAAGGATAATAATAGAGCCTACTTTATAGGATTGTAAAAATATTCCTGCAACAGATTTCCTACTCTTAGATTTTTTTTATGTCATCACAGGATTTCCTACTCTTAGATTTGTATCCTTTAATTTCTTCTCAATCTTTTTTAAAAGTCCTTTTTAAAAATTTTTTTTTTTTAAGCAAAATGAGCTTTATTGACATTTGGTTTAAAAAATCAGTCCATGTTGCTAATTAAAAAGTGTAACAAAGGTGCAGAGAAGTGAGTGCCCGAGACTTGTCACTGATGTCCACTCTCCTGGTCACGCTGCTGTAGAGAAGACCGCATCTACCCTTCTCAGCTCTTCAGGAACAGGGCCCTCCGCGCAGTTTTGTGACCTAGAAAAAAAATTCTGAGAAAGTCGCCGCCCCTACCCGCCCTGATTGGGCCCCTCTGTCCCCCTCACGTGGTCCCCACATGAATCTTCTGTCCCCACCAGCCCCCCACCCCGTGAATTGCCCTAGGGCACCTCTGGAAGCTGGTGGCGGTGGTCTCTGCGGCCCACGGCGGCGTAGCTGTTGTCCTGCAATGTGGGCTCTGGAAAGGAGGAAGGTCTGCGCAGAGTCCGGTGGCTGGCGTGGCCGCGGGGCTGGCTTGGAAGAAGACCTCATCGCCCCATAAAAATTTTTTAAAATTTTATTATTATTTTGTTGTGTGTACCATCAAATTGAATCTGACTGGTACAGGAGGAGATTGCCCCTCCTTCTCTAGCAGAGCAGCTGGTGGATTCTAACCGCATACCTCTGAGATTGCAGTGCAGCTTCTTGCCACTAGGTCACCAGAGCTCCCTTAAAAGTCTTTTTGAAGGGCTTTTTAAAAATCCTTCTCTTATCTTTTTCAAACATCTGACCTGTCCAGGCAATTGAGGTTGAGCTCTCTTTCCTGTCTACATCCCTTTCCCCTAGGCTGCTGGTACGACTCCAGGAAGGTAGTGAGTCACTGACTGTGGAAGTTTTCATTGACCGGTAAGTCAGGACAGGTGAAAGGTGGTAACAAGAGATGGTAGAGTCATGGGCTAATGGAAGTACCAACTGTTCATAGCAAGACCCTTTCATTCCTACCTCAGAGAAGTAACAACTCATTCCTTTTATTGGACACTTACTATATGACATGCAACCCTGTATATTACCCTGTCTTATCAGGGCACCATGCAAATTAAGAAACAAACTTGGAGGTTATATCTTTTGCACAAGGTCATGTAGCTAGGGTTGTATTTAGTCTTAGGTCAGCCTGATCCAAAAAACCAAAGTGCTAATCTCTATACATGTATATGGGGGGGGGGGAGAGTGATGGAAGGAGGGAGAGAGAGAAAGAGAGGGAGATTTCTATATGTATAGTTTTGTTTTCCCAGTAATTTTTTTCTATATTTCTTTTCAGGAATCCTCCTCAAACACAAGGGTAAGTGCCTGACAAGGATGCCACAAACAGCTGTGACCTCCATGACCTGCACACACACATGCAGCAGCTCTGGAGGGAACATAAACACAGAGGCTGGCAGGTGCATGGGAGGGAGCTGGATAAAGGGTGAAGGGGAAGTCTGAAATGAAGTGAGTCTTGTTCTCATACTGCATCTTTAGTATAACTCTGCTCCTGTCCTCTGTATATCACCTTCCTCCTAAGCAGCTTCCGGAAGTTCAACATTCTGACTTCAAACCAGAAGACTTTGACGCCTGAGAAGGGGCAGAGACAGGGCATAATTTGGGACTTCACATTCTTGGTAAGAAAGATCATAGCATTCTCTTCTAGTGCAGGGGAACAGGGCCTGTGGAGAGTACCCAGGCCCTCAGAGGTCTTGAAGGACCTTGGAGTTCCTACTTTGATATTGTCTCTCCTTCTCAATTCATAGACTCTGGTGGAGCAGCGTTCAGGTGGTTCAGGAAAAGGCAGCAATAAGGTGAGGTCTGGACAAAAAATTGGGGCAGAGAAGGGAATTGCCACTGGGGCCTTTGATAACTTTGTCCTTGGCTCTCCCAGGGGCCGCTAAGTGTAACAGAAGAACTGCATATCATCAGCTTCACGGTCAAATACACCTACCAGGGTCTGAAGCAGGAGCTCAGAGTGAGTGAGAATGGAGGGAAGAGAAAGATGAAACAGATTTGTGAGCAGGCATAAGGAAGGGATAAACAGAAGCCTCGCTGTGGGTGGGACATTAGTGTTTGTCTCCAACCAAAATTTCTACAGCTAGAAGCATTAGGTCTGGGTCTTCCTCTCTGTGACTCCTGTCTTCTCCCCAGACGGACACTCTCCCTGTGGTGATTATTTCTAACATGAACCAACTCTCCATTGCCTGGGCCTCAATTCTCTGGTTCAATCTGCTCAGTAAGAACCTGCAGGTAAGAGATAAGTAAGAGACTAGCGTGAGAGGGAGGTGAGGAGGAAGAGTGAGAGGCTGCTTCTGAGCCATCCTGCCTGCCTTCCACCCTTGCAGGACCAACAGTTCTTCTCCAGCCCACCCCTGGCACCCTGGAGCTTGCTGGGCCCTGCTCTCAGCTGGCAGTTCTCCTCCTACATTGGTCGAGAACTCAACCGAAAGCAGCTGAACATGCTGAGGGACAAACTGTTTGGTACAGACATTCTGTTCACTCAATCTCTCCCTAGTCTTAGTCCACCCAGCCCTCTGACTCAACCCAAAACCCCTGACCTTGCCTCCTTCTATCATCTTTGGTTCTCTGTCCCACAGGGAAGAACTCCAAGATGGAGAATGCATTGTCCTGGGTGAACTTCACTAAGGTAGCTCCCTGCAGCTAGATTCAATCTTCAGCCCCAATACTGACCCTTCCCCATACCAAGGCCAATTCCACATCTTTTCCTTTCTTATACTGTTAGCGAGAAAGCCCCCCTGGCAAGTTGCCATTTTGGACTTGGCTGGACAAAATTCTAGACCTGGTTCATGATCATTTGAAGGACCTGTGGAATGAAGGGTAAGGTCTTGGTCATGCATTCCCTACAAGCCTACCTGCCTCTCTGGGCTAGGGCAGGACCCCATGTGCCCCCATGTGGTGCACAGGGAAAGAAGCATATTCTAGTTCATAGGCATTGCTGGGGGTCTCTGCTAGCATAGCCAGAGGAAGTTGAACCTCTGACTCAGAGGCAGTGTGTCTCTCGGCTCAAACCCACCATTGGGTCTGTGGGAGAAAGATGGACAATCTCCCCTGTGTGATGTACAGTCTCCTCCTGTGCCAGTTCTGACTCGACTGCAGTGAGTTTGAGCCATAGCCAGGATTTGTACATACCTGCCATGTTCCACAGTCTGGTGGGTGCTCGCCATGAATTCTCTCATTTAATTTTTTTCTCTCATTTAATTTTTACAGCCACCTTTGATTTCCCAACTAAGGAAATCAGGACTAAGAGAAGTTCAAGAGTTTTTACACACACACACACACACATATATATATTTTACCCCAGGGGCAAAGTTAGGATTCAAATACAAGCCTATCAGAGTCCCAGTTTGTGCCCTTTCTACCACAAGGCCTACAGATCTGTATCAAGATTTGTTGTTGTTAAGTGCCGTCGAGTCATAGACGACTCATAGCAACCCTGTGAACAACCTGAACACTTGTATAATTTTCATCCTTTCTCCAAGTTCATAGGGTTTCCAAAGGCAAGCTATTTTGGAATTGGCTGCCACTCCTGCTTCCAAGCTTGCTTTAATGGGGAAGCTCCACCAAACACTGTCCGCCTTGAGGGACCATTACCACATTTGACACATCAGTGTCACAGTGTTCAGCATCACAGCAACTACGAGTTACCTCTGTACAGCAAATGGACAGACCAGTGCTATGCCACTTAGAAGAATGTTTGACCAAAAACAATTAAAACCAGGCCTGAGGGCCTCAGATTAAAATCACCCACCTTTGACTTGGTAGCGTAACTTTCTATCCGCCAGGCCCACAGAACTCTTATGTTCTTGTTGTTAAGTGCTGTCAAGTCATAGATGACCCCTTATGAATGAAAGACCTGAATACTTGTATAACTTGTATCAAGTTTTATTGTCTATGAAAGTGTTGCAGGATGCTTTTAATCTCTGTGGTATCACCAAAGCCTCTTTGAAACCTGGGAGGTAACTGACTATTGTCCAAAAAGTGATGTGACTTGGCCAAGAAAAGTGACACATTCCAGACCAAAACCTGGCCCTCTCTCCCTCTGCAAGGGGAATGGGGAATGGAGAAATGGAAGACCTCACAAATGCTTTCTCTGTTCAGCTACATCATGGGATTTGTGAGCCGGGTCCAGGAACGCCAGCTGCTGAAGAAGACCATCTCTGGCACCTTTCTACTGCGCTTCAGTGAAACATCAGAAGGAGGCATTACCTGCTCCTGGGTGGAGCATCAGGATGATGGTAGGATTTGGAGCTTCCTTGCCCTGGCTTTCTTAACAGCCTCTTCCTTCTCCCTGGCTCCTCTTTGCCTGCCTTTGGCTTCCCTACCTTTGTCCTGGATCCCCCATCAAGTCTGAGATTACACAGCCAGCGTGTTGAGGTTCCAGATCCAGCCTTACCTCTCCAGCCTAACTCTCCCTACGTTGCAGATAAGGTGTTGATCTACTCTGTGCAGCCCTATACCAAGGAGACGCTGCAGTCACTCCCACTGACAGAAATCATCCGCCACTACCAGCTGCTCACGGAGGAAAACATTCCTGAGAACCCATTACGCTTCCTCTACCCCCGAATCCCCCGGGATGAGGCTTTTGGGCGCTACTACCAGAAGCCAGGTGGGAATCATGCACGCTTCACTTCAGATTGCAAGAGTCCTGAGGTGTCATAAAACGGGAGAGTCCACTGTGCAGAGAGGTTAAGGGATTTGTCTGGGGGGAACTGCTTGTTAAAAGAAAGCGATAGCTGTGTGGACCATGTGCCTCCAACCCACTGATCTCTTTGACTTTCTCCATATGTCTCCTACAGTTAATCTCCAGGAACAGAGGAAGTATCTGAAACATAGACTCATTGTGGTCTCCAACAGGTGAGCCATGAACTCCTCACGCTCATATATCTTAATCCTTTTTGCTTGAAACACTAACTCTAACCTGCCCAATTCCAATCTCTTGAGTCCTTTCTCTCTTATTCATAATCTCCAGCCCTTTAGTTTCTTTTTCCTCAATGTACTAGTCTCTCTGCTTTCTTTTATTTTCCTGCTGCTATCTTTAGGCACCTAGGTGCCAAGCATAGTAGGCTTTTTAAAAATTATATTTTTTTAACTTTAATCTTTAACACAGTCTACCAGAAGTTAATAATAAGAACAGCTATAAATTGAAAGTTTATCATGTTCCAGGCACACTATATTAGACACTTTATATCCATTTTCTCATTTATTGAATCTTCACAATAGTTCTATGAAGTTTTGTTGTTATATGCTATTGAGTTGTCTACAACTCATAGCGATTCTATGAACAATGCATCTGAACCCTGCCCTATCTTGTGCCATCCTCACCAACTCTGATACACTGGAGATCATTGTTACAGTCACTGTGTCAGTCCATCTTGTTGAGAGTCTTCCTCTCTTCACTGACCCTCCACCTTTGCCAGCACTGACCCCTCCTGACAGCATGTCCAAAGTATGTGAGACAAAGCTTCACCATCCTTGCCTCCAAGGAACACCCTGGTTGCCCCTTCTCCAAGACAGATCTGTTTGTTCTTTTACCTTACACGGGAGACTTAGTCCTCTGAGGTAGACATTGGTTACTGTTTTCAGCTGAGGAAACAAGGATGTAAAAAGTAGTAAAGTGGTACCCTAAAGTATGTGGCTAGTAAACGATGTGGGTCTCTCAGACCCCAGAGCACTGCTTTTCACCATCCTGTAGGGCCTCAGGTATCATTAGGTATTGTTCTTATTTTATAGATAATAAATATGAGGCTCAGAGAAGTTAGGTAACATGCTGAAGTCAATAGGATTCAGACTCTGGCAAATCTGACTCCACACTCATTCTCATAAGCCCTCTCTGCCCTTTTAACTCATTAGACTAGAGATGCTTCTGCTTGATTTACTATTTACCACTCCATCTAAAGCACTTATTGTTGCCTTTTTGTCTGTCTTGGGATATTCAGACAGGTGGATGAGTTGCAACAGTCTTTGGAACCTAACTTGCAGCCAAAACAGGAGTTATTAGACATGGAGCCAATACCAGGGCTTGATCCAGGGCTAAGCCTGGAGTTAGGAACACTGGATCTAGGGCCAGCACTGGAGTCTGCTCTGGAGCCCACACTTCCCACAGGACCACAAAGGGTGCCAGAGCTAAACTTGGCAACAGAGCTGACGTCTGACCTAGAGGCTGTCCCACAACCAATGCAAGAGCCCGATTTGCCTCATGATCTGATCCACTTGAACATTGAGGAAATGGAAAGTAAGTGATGAGGTGGGGCTAGAGAAGAGGAAACCCATCCTTTCCCCCACTCTCCCTGCCTCTCTTGCTTAAGAAATGTTTGTGTTCTGAGTCTGTCTGGTGACTCCTTTCAGAAGAAAATGCCTAAGCTTCCCTCTCTCTGTGCCCCACTGTCACTCCACTCTTGGGTCCAAAGCTCTCAGGCCATATTTCCTCATTTTCCCTGCTGAGTTGGTAACTTCTTGACTGGGATCAGAATATAATTTCTCTTTCTGAACCACCTAGTTTTCAGAGACCCTTCACTGATGATAGAAGAAATCATGCTAAATGGAGACCCTCCGTTGCCTTCCTCAAGCGCCATGGATGAGGTTTATATCTCCGCCTCCAGCCATTTCCACATGGATGAATGCTGGAGTCCTGACTGCTGAGAACTGCATTGCCTGTGTTTTTTTCTCTAATTCTTGCCCCAGTACTCCCATCATCATGATGTACCTCTCCAATGCACATATGTCCCTTCTAAACTGGGAAAACCCCAAGATTTCATTTGAGAGGTGAAAGCATATTGTGGGTATGGAAGAGCACCAACCAGTCGGAATACCGGCCCTATCTCTACACGGGATCCTAGAGGTTGCTTCTGTGCTGGGGAACTATGTAAGGGGGCAGAGGGGTCATGAGGATAACTGGGGGAGGAGTGCTACTTTGGAAGACTCAGCAAGATGGCTATTTTCCAGTGTGGAAAGATGTCAACATTTTAATAGCTGGTAAAGCAAAATTAGAAGCCCTTTTTGGCACAGTGGGTGAATACTGAGCACTTCACCAAAAGGTTGGTGATTCTAGCCATCAGCCAGAGAAAGACTGCAGCCTTCTGCTCCAGTAGGTGACAGCTTTAGAAACAGTACAGGGCCAGTCTGCTCTGCCTTGTAGAGTTGCTGTGAGTTGAAATCAACTTAATAGTAATGGGCTTAGGTTCATTTTCTTTCTCCTGTTTACTAGTTTAAAGCAAAACTGGTACACACTGGCATTGCATCCCCTTTACAATGAAGGGAGACAAGATAGGACTCCATTTCTCTCTTGTGGCTCCTTCATGTTTAGGTTAACTTTTTCCTTTCTTCTCCTCATTCCTAACTCTAGTTTTAAATTTCTTCTTTTCCTGCAAGGGCAAGAGAGCCTTCTGCTTTCCCCCATTATGTGAAGCACCATCCTAAAGAAGGGGATGGGTGGTAGACTTTGCTAGTCTCCTCCACTGCCCCTACTGTCTGTCCAAGCTACCTACCTGCACGCAGCTTCCTCTGTGAACTGATACTGTTAATCCAATATGCTTGTGAAGCTTTGCACACTAACCTCTACTGCCTCACCTCCCTGCCTTCAGGCTTAAGAAATAGATCATTACTGAGGGCTAGAGAAAGTAGGGGTTTCTGAGTTGCTTTTTTATAGCATTAGATAGAGTTTGATATTTTTATATAGAAAGATAAGTCCAGGCAAGCTCTGGTGGCCTAGTGACAAGAAGCTGTACTGCAATCCCAGAGGTGTGCGATTCGAATCCACCAGATTCTGTGCAGAAGGAGGGACAATTTCCTCCTGTACCAGTCAGATCTGATTTGACAGTACACACACAAAAAAGAATAAACTTTTTTAAAAAGAGAAAGAAAGTTCAGGATCATAGCTAGTTCTGTAGCAAGATGTCATCCCCTTTTTTTGTACACGATAGTGTTTACCTGAAAAATGTACTTATTCTGTGGATATGGACCTGGGCAAAGGCCAAGTTCCTGGCACTTAAAATCTTAAGGTTTATCATGGGACTATGTACAACCTTCCACCATAGCCATGCCAGGGGACCCAGGGGAATAGTCATCATTGTTCACGACGTGCTGCTGGTTTAACGTCAGATATAAATGAAAGTGGGTCCTGTGTATGTGATACTTTTCTGCCTGGTATTTCAAAGGAACAGACATGTTCAGAAAGGAGCCGTTCTGAGCAGATCTAACTAATAAACTTTATACCAACCCAGATGTATTTAATTTTTGAACTCCTTTACTTCCCTGTTCACAGATTTCTATCCTTTGGAACTTCAGGAGGCTGAATAGGATTCCAAGCAAATCTGTCTTTGAAGAAGTGCAACCAGAGAGCTCCTTAGAGGCAAGGGTGGTGAAACTTCATCTCACGTATTTTGTGCATGTTGTCGGGGGTACTAGTCATTGGGAAAAGATCTCATGTTGGGGAAAAATAAATGATCAGTAAAAGAGACAAAGATCACCCACAAAATGGGTTGACATGGTGACTGTAACTATGATCTTGAGCATGTTGGAGATCGTGAGGATGGTTCAGGATGGAGCAAGATTTCGCTGTTGTTCAGAGTTAACTCAATAGCTCCTACCTGTTGGGCTCAAATCTAGAAGGGAGTATCCCTTAGGGTAAGGGTTTACGGAAGGACCACAAGATTGACTGGGGGCCAAGCCAATAGATTCATTGCTTGAGAGCGAGGAAACTTAAATACACAAGAAACGAACAGCACTGTATCCAGACTTTACAGTGGCTTTGTTCTTGGGTGCACAGTGGCACCCACCAAGAAGGGTGGTCAGAAAGGGTGAGGGTATGTGCTCTCAGGCTCATACTGTCATTGTTAGTGCCATGGAGTTAACACAAACTCATAGCAACTCTATGAGCGACAGATCGGAGCCTTGCCCTATGCTGTGCCATCATCATCTCTGATAGACTCCAGACCATTGTTACAATTACCATGTCAATCCATCTCATTAAGGATTTCCCCCTCTTTGGCTGATCTCTCTACCTTTTTAAACATGATGTCCATTTCCAAGGACTGGTCTTTCTTACTGACATGCCCATGTATGTGAGGTTAAGTGTCACCATCTTTGCCTCTAAAGAACACTGATTTCACTTTCTCTGAGACATATTTGTTCTTTGGGCAGTCCATGGGATATTGAGTACTCTTCTCCAACATTACAACTTAAAGGCATTGGTTGTTCTTCTGTCATCTTTATTGGCTAACTTTCAGATGCATAGCAAGTGAGGGAAAAGACTGTGGCTTGACTCAGGTGAATCTTTGAACTGACATCATGGCTTCTTAATACCTTGAAGAGGTCCTTGAGAGCAGATTTTCCCAGTGCAACACATCTTTGTTACACTGGGAAAGTCCTCATCACTTTCAACAAGCACAGTTGTGTCATCTGCATAAATGCAGATTTGTTGATGAGTCTTCCTCCAATCCTGATGTCATGTTCTTTACAAAGTCCTGCCTCTTGAGTGATTGTCTCAGCAATAATCCTATGACAATGGAAGGAAAGGAAGGAAAGCCAGCTGATACCATAAACACCCTAAAGCCACCATCATCAGAGTCACAGGAAGAATACATGTTAAGACAGTTAATGGGAAATAGAGATGATCATCTTAGTCCAACTCAGCTCTTAATTTGCTCAGGATTAGTCGTTTTGGGGAAACGTTTGCAAAAGCCCATTCAGCACCTAGCAACAACTACCTTGTTTCAGACATCCCTGCCTGACCATTGGATCCTTTGAGGGCTTTGGCTATAACTGTGTTGGGAAGGGGCACAAGTATATATACCTAGCTCTACGCCACTTAGCTGGTTGGTGACAAAGCCAGGATCCAGACTTAGTTCTGCTTCTCTCCAAAGCCCGTGCCTCTCCCATGCTGTGACTAGAGAGAAAGGAGAGCAAACGATCACTAGTCCCTTCTTCTCCGCTTCTGTTTAAAGATAGGGTTTTTTGTTGTCTTACAGAATCTTGGGAAGCTAAACTCCTTACTGAAGGGGCCAGCAGATGTCATTTAAAGGAGAATCCTAATGGCTTGGGGGATTTACCTTCATTTTCCTGGAATGCCCTTATTGCTCAATATAGAGAGCTCTGGCTTTTACTCTTGCAGTGAACAAAGCTCCTGTCTTTGGCCAGAAAGCAAAGAAGGAAGCATTGTATTAGGCATTAAGTGTTTGTGGCCCTAAACTCAGCAAATCTCAATTTTCTGCAATCTTACTTGGCTTACCCATTAAAAGATAAAAACCAGAAAAGTTCCTAGGTATCATACTCAATGCTAAGTGTGATGAGGACATATCATTCTCTGCCCTGCCCTTCAGAGTAGAAGAAAGGGATAAATATTATAGTCTTTTGGCGCCACTTTTCTACTATTCTGTTTTTTCTCCCAATCAAGCAAGGAAATTAGACCCAGACATCCACATAAATAGTTTTTATTAAAAAAAATACATAACAGTATAAATATAATAAATAATCCTCTCATGAGGATAAATAATTCCAAATATTCCCTTATAATAAATAAGCAATCTTGTCATAAGTCGCTATCATGAAGTTAGGCAGTATTGGTTGTTATTCATCATACACAAGTCCCTTTAGAATCAGTGGGCTGATTGTTGTCTCGAAGGTCCCTAGGGTTGTTGCCTGAACTTGCCATTGCTGAACCATGGAAGTCCTGACGCTGTTCATAAGCCATTGGCTTTAGGGGCTGAGGGTTGCTGCTCCATGGGAAAAGACCCGGGCAGCTACAGCCACGAAAGCCTGGAGGCTGCGGAGGATCTTGAGACGCAGGAGGAGGCGCTGCCATGGCAGGCTGGGACTGGGGCTTGGAGTCAGCTGAGTCTCCCTGTGATGACCCTCAGGCTGAAAGGACACAGAACACAGTCAAAGAGGAGTCTAGAACCTAGAAGCTCTGACACCAGCAAGTTCCAACTAGGTCCCCAGGTCATACCTGCAAGAGTTGGCTGAAGACCAGTAAGGAGGCATGAAGCTGACCTACAGTGTCATCTGGAAGGAGAGAAGGCTCTCCTGTGAAAATGTCTGAGCCCAGCAGGTTCTCATAAAAAATCAGACCCTTGTGGATCCTTTGCAAGCAGAACTAGGGATAGAAGAAAGAAAATGAACATATTTTTTTCCTGCTTGACTCACTGAAGATCTATTCAGTTCTTTACCATTCTCAGCCACAAAGTCACCATAGTGTCCAACCATGTCCCCAGTCCCTCTTTCACAGCCCATCCTCATTTTAATGGTACCTGACTATTGTCTCTGAGGCCTTGGGGATCACAGCCATCCCCACACTGGATATAAGGAACATCATCTGTAGTTTCATCATCATCTTCTCTTGGGACATCCTGAAATGGAGGTGATGGAAAGGGTTAAAAATTAAAATAAGTAATTTTAAGTCTTATCTGAATTCTCAGATACTTCACACTCTTGTCCCTTTTCATTCCTTGGTGGCCTGGAACCCCCAGCTTCCACCTAAGTCCTCATAGTCTTCCACTGAAGCCTTGGAGGGACTCCTATTTGGTTCTCAAGGGCGCCACTCACCATATCTCGCATTGGTGAATGTGCACTCCAAGCCAGTGTACAGAGCTTCTGTGAGAGCTGATGGCCCTGAGTCCAGGCAGGGCTGCTGCTCCCATGTATGGCACGGCCCTGAGTGCTCCAGGGCAGCAGCAACAGTAGCATCACAGCTCCGCTGAGCAGCATTTCAGTGCCTGCTTCTCAAACTTGGCTGGTTCCGTGCCTGACACCAGTCTTCGTGGAATCTGTCCACTTCCCCGTCTGAGTCTAATCTCTCTGTTCAAAACTGCTTCCTGTTGGTTTTTCTCTTCTTGTCTGAGTCTCTTTTTAAGGTCCCTGCATTATAAGACCCGCCCTTTATACTAGCAGGTGACTCACAGCAGGTGGGATTCCCCTCCCTGCATCATCTCCCTTTGTGGGGAGCCCAGGTATGCAGCCTCAGTTCCAGGGGAAATGAGTCGTCCTTTAGGTTACTGTGGCTGGAAGCCTGGGATGGGACGTATGTGTAATGCTCTCCAGGAATCAGAACAGCTATAGAAAGGGTGGGAGGTGGAGGAGTGTTGAATATTTAAATTACTCTAGTCCCATGTTCCTTCCTGTTTAACTCATCCCTGATCTTTTTACCTCTCAGAATTATAATCCTTGTTTTATCAACCTCCTCCCCCAGGAAAAAACAAAGAAGCATTCATTTATCTTCCAACAGATTCATGTACTCAATTCAGAATGAAGATATTTGGTACCTGTCTGATACCTCCATCTCAGAATGAACAAACAAAAGCATCCTGAGTCCATTCTGCCAATTGGCAACACTGTGTATTACAGAGCAGAACTGCTCCATAGAATTTTCTTGGCTACAGTCTTTACAAAGGAGCTCTGATGGCTGAGTGATAAGGAGTTGTGCTATCAACTGAAAAACATGCAGAAGAAAGATGGTTTGAGCCATTAGTCCTTAGGTTACTAGTCAGCACAAACTGTACTACTCAGAAACCTGATCTCAGAATAAGGAGTTCCATTTTATCTCTTGAAAATATTTTTTACAGGATGGATCTGGTTTCAAAAGAGACAAAGGATACAAAGGCATTCTGTCGACTGAGAAGTCATTTTAAGAGTTGTACGCTATTATTGTTAGGGCCTGTAGAGTCAAGGGCAACTCATAGCAAGCCTTAAACAACAGGTTCAGATGAACCCTGTCTTATCTTGTGCTATCCTCACAATCTCTGATACATTCAATCCCATTGCTGCAGTCACTGTGTCAATCTACCTGGTTGAGGGGCCTTTCTTCACCATCTCCCATTTCCAAGTATGATATCTTTCTCTAAGGAAGAGCCTTTTCTAGCAACATGCCCAAAGTATGTGAGATGATGAGCACTCTGGCTGTACCTTTTCTGAGACATGCCTGTTTGTTCTTTTAGGCAGTGCAAGGGATATTTAATACTCTTCTCCAACACCACAGTTCAAAGGCATCACATTTTATTCTGTCATCTTATTCATTGTCCAACTCTAGGCACAATATAAGTGATTGAAAAGCCCATGGCCTGAATTAAGTGCACCCTAGTTTTCAAGTTAACATAGTTGCTCCTCAGTAAGTGAATTTTCCTCCACTTCAGTTGTCACTGTGAAGGTTAGAAGTGTTTCAGAGAAAGCCTTGTTACTAAGAACTATCTGGTTCTTCAATCCTAGAAACCCAAGGTTTTCAACTCTTTGGGGGCTCCAATGTAGAAGCTAGAACTCCAAGTGAGACATCCCAGGACATAGCCCTTACCCTACTGCTAGGGAAGATAGCAGTTGTGGGTAGGTGAAGGTGGAAAGGGTCAATGACCCAGGACAGTCCTTCAGCCTGTTGCACCCGTGGGTAAAATCCGCTGACACTGATTTCATCACCCTCCCTGATGCAACATCTAGTGAAACAGCTGAGAATGTGAGATGGGGTGTGGGAGTGGAGGGTGGTCCAAAGCTGGGACTGCCCCGACCCCAGTGGAGGGTTCCAGGATGATTTGGACGTCAGTATGAGGCCATAGGTGACCACACACACAGCTGGTTCCCAAAGCTGCCCCAAGAGATTGACCCTTTTCCTCTGAGAATCTTGCCTTTGAAGGGGGTCTCCCTTACTATCATTCAAACTATCCAATGAAATTTTGGTTCAAGTATTATGACTCTGTGGTAAATTCACCCTTTAGATGAAACATATTTCCAGTATTAGAGGTTAGCTAAGTTTGGTGAAGAATGGTTTGCCATCCACCTACATAAAGTGAACATAAATGGAATAAGGAAATTGGAGAGAGTGAAGTAGAGGAGTTCACCTCAATTGTATATAATGTATCTTAGGTTCATTCCACCTTTGGTCTCCATTCTGGAAGTCCTAAAAGATAGGAGATGAAAGGTGAAAAGGAAGAGAAGGAGGAGGAGGAAGTAGAACCCTGGGAGTGAGAGGGACAAGGGTGAGTTGGAGGCAAGGGGATCTGCCGCTTTGTTTCACTTCCTGGTGCTGCAGGGCATTGCATAGGAAGCTGGGTTAGTGGGGCAGTTGTGGGACTGTCATGTTGCAGGAACTACTTCCAGGACCACATCTGACCTGGAGCTACAAGGATTCCTTGACGTCAGCTGGACCTCAACCAACCGTTATGCAAATCACATTTGCATGACACTCCTAAGCAGGCCTTTCCAGTTAGATATCTAGACTCCAAATCCAGGTGACGTTTACCCAGATGGTTAAGTACTATTGCTAATATATATGTTCAACTCTCACTTTATGCCAAGTATCTTAAATAAGCACTTTACATTTACTCAGTTATCACAACCACCATATAACTATTAATATCATTCCTTAAGTGGAGAAAGATTGAAAACATCAACAATTTCATCTTACTTAGATCCACAAGATCTTTAGTACTAGCAGTCAGGAGATCAGGAGATGTATAGCATTGGGAAGATCTGTGTTCAAGGACTTCTGCAAAGTATTAAGAAGCAGTGAAGTCAGTTTAAAGACTAAGGTGCACTTGATCTAAGCTATGTTCTTTTCCGTCAATTGCTATGCATTTGAGAGCTGTATAATAACCAAGGATGACAGAAAAAGAATTGATGCCATCTAATGGTGTTGGACAAGAATACTGAATAGCCCATCAACTGCAAAAAAACAAACAGCTATGTCTTGGAGAAAATACTGCTAGAGAGCTCCTTGGGCATGTTGCTTAAAAGAGGCTATTCCTTGAATACCATGCTTAGAAAGGTGACAATATGACTGCAGAAATGGGTTCAAGTATGTCAGAGATTATGAGGCTGGCACAGGATAGGACAGGATTCAGATCTGTTGTTAATACTATTATTTGAGTTATATTTGATGACAAGTTGTTAAATTATACTTAACAACAACAGTTATAGGTAAAGAAAGTGAAGTGCAGAGATAAATAACTTGTGCACTATTATTGTGGTGGTGGTGGTGGTGTTTTGTGCCATCAAGTCGCTTGTGACTCATAGAGACCCTATGTACAATAGCCCTGAAATCTGCTCTATCCTGTACCAACTTTATCTACCCTCATTACTCAGCCATGGAATCAATCCATCTCATCAAGGGTCGTCCTATCTCGTGCTGTCCCTCCACCCTGCCAAGCATGATGTTCCTTTCCAAGGCTGGTCTCTCCTTGCAGCATGCCCTAAGTATGTCAAATGACGTCTCAGAATCCTTGATTCCGAGAATAGCCTGTTTTCAACCTCTCTAGGAAAGGCCTGTTTGTTCCCTGGCATTCCATAGCATATTCAATACTCTTCTCCAGCACCACAGCTCAAAGGCATCAGTTCTCTTTCTATCATCCATAGTCATTGTCCAGCTTTCTGATGCATAGCAAGTAATTGCGAAGACTATGGCCTGGATCAGGCGCACCTTAGTCTCCAAACTAATGTCATTGCTTTTCAGTACTCTGGAGAGGTACCTGACAGTAGACTTTCCCAGTAAAATTCGTCTTTTGATTTCCTGACTGCTGGTACCAACAGTGTTGACTGTGGATATAGTGGATCTACTATTAAAAATTACTTAACTAAGCCATTACTCGACTTTGTGACACTGTTAGGATTTTGTTGTTAGATGTTGTTGAGCTGAGTATGACTCAAATCGACCCTATGAACAATAGATCTGAACACTGTCCTATCCCGTGCTATCCTCATTAGCTCTGACACATTCCAGTCAATTGCCACAGTCACTGTGTCAATCCACTAGGTTGAGGATCTTCCTCTTTGTCACTGCCTCTCCACCTTTACAATCATGATGTCCCTCTGCAATGAAAAAACCTCTCCTAGCAACATGCCCAAAGTATGTGAGACAAAGTTTCATCATCTCTGCCTCCAATCAGTACTCTGGCTGAATCCTCTCTAAGACATAACTTTGTTCTTTAGCAGTCCACAGGATCTTCAGCACTCTTCTCCAACACCACAGTTCAAAAGCTTCATTTCTTCTACTGTCATCCTTACTCATTGTGCAGCTCTCAGATGAATAACAAGTGAATGAAAAGACCATGGCCTGAATCAGCTGCACAAATAGGGTGTGTTAGTCTGTCCACATGGGAACTGGCTAGTTTTGCCATTCCATCAGGCTTAAATTAAGCAGGTTCAGCAGCAGAAATTTATGAATCGCTATACCAGCAAGAAATAACAAGCAGATAATTCAGTGTATGTTCTTCAGGACCAGAGATTCCTGTGCCAGCCAGACTTACAGGAGAGTACCCACAGTACAGCAGAGAACCTGAGACCTGATGGAAGACAGAACTGACCTGGGACTGCTGCCCCACAAAATCAGAGGCAGAGGCCTTCACCTAGGCTTACTGAAGGACTTGAGTAGGAAGGACTGGGGTGGAGGCTATAACTGATAAGACTAAGAGAGTTTTGTAATAGTGGCCTAAAGCCATAATGGCCTGCAAGCACGCTTCAGAAGCTATTCTAAGGGATTGTTACCAGCCTAGGTTGTAACCTATTGTTGTTGTTAGGTGCCCTGGAGTCAAGTACTACTCAAAGTGACTCTATGAACAGCCAACCTGAAACCTGCCCTATCCTGTACCATCCTCATCATCTCTAACACACTAGATGCCATTGCTGAGATTACAGTGTCTATCCATCTCATTGGGGGTCTTCTTATCCTTCATTGACCTTCCATCTTTCCAAGCACTATGTCTCTTTTCAAGGAACAGCCTCGCTTAGCT